ATGGAGTCTTGCTCTGTCACCCAGGCTGGAGTGCAATGGTATGATCTCGGCTCACTGCAACCTCCACCTCCTGGGTTCAAGCGAGTCTCCTGCCTCAGCCTCCTGAGTAGCTGGGATTACAGGCACCCGCCACCACACCCAGCTAATTTTTGTATTTTTAGTAAAGACGGGGTTTCGCCATGTTGGTCAGGCTGGTCTCGAACTCCTGACCTTGTGATCCACCCGCCTCAACCTCCCAAAGGCCTGGGATTACAGGTGTGAGCCATCGCGCCCAGCCCACTTCTGTATTTAAGATCCTGCTTAACTTTTGTCCACATAGTGAGCCAATGTTCACAATACTATCATACTAAACAGTCTCTTTTGCCTTATAGTGCCACCTGTAACATATGTGAAGTTCCTCAAATACCTAAGTCTGAGTTACAGCTCTGTCATATTCTACTATTTGTTCCTGTACCTGTACAAGGTTATTTTTATTACTTTTACTTTGTGGCATATCTTTTATTTTTTTTCAAGTTTTTTCTGATAGGGATGAGGTCTCCCTATGTTGCCCAGGCTGCCCTCAAACTGGTAGACTCAAGAGATCCTTCCACCTTGGCCTCCCAAAGTGCTGCAATTACAGGCGTGAGCCATTGTGCCCAGCCATGTAGCATATCTTAATATCTGGTAAAGAAAGTCCTTTGTTCTTTTTGTCCAGATTGATTTATCTCTTTACGGACCTTTATTCTTACATGTATATTCCAGATTTCTTCTTGAATGGCAACCTAAATGCCAGTCCAAAGAGGCCCCCAATAGACTTGTTCACCCTTCATGTCCTCAACTCTGGGGAAGTTAAGGTGAGACTCACAGGGCCAAGTCTACCCTATTGTATTTGGTTCCTCCTCAGTCCTTTTATTAGATTGAAATTTAATGTACAAATTGATAATTACATAAGTTATCATTATTTTATGTTTGTTGATTTCAAATGCAATGTTTTATAGAGTTTTGTGTTTTTTAAAAATCTTTTTTCAATTTTGTATTTTGAAAAAGTTTTAAACCTACAGAAATGTAATAAGTAGAACAAATTTTTAAGCTTTACCTCCTAGATTTAACAGTTGTTAGCATTTTGCATCTTTCTGTATCTATGTATCTATGTATCTATCTCTCTATTGCTAAACAATTTGAGGGCAACTTGCAGATATGATTCTTCACCCCCAACTATTTCAGTATGTATTGCCTAAGAACAAGGACATTGACTTATATAATTATCACATTAATAATATATAATATATAATATTATTATATATAATTATCACAATTATCACATTCATGGCATCTATCACATTGATCTAACATTATTATCTAATATTGTGAAATATCCAAATGTTGCAGCTATCTAAGTAATGATCTTTGTAGTACATTCCATCCCCTTCCCAACTCAAGAGCATTGGTTGCATTTGAAATAATGTATCTTTAGCCTCCTTTAATCTGAAACAGCTGCTCAGCCTCTCTGTGTCTTTCATAACATTGACATTTTTAGGTAGAAGCTATTTGTTTCATAGAGGATACCTCTGGTTGGGTTTATCTGATTGTTTCCTCAGGTTTAGATTCAAGTTATGCATTTGACAGGAGTATTTCCTTTCTAACAAAAAGAGAAACCAAAGAATAGAATAAACTCAATTTTATTAATTTGAAGGCAGTATTAGATATTCCTTTGATGAGGAAGAAAAATTCATCTTCAAGTTCCAAATCTAAAAAACAAGTATAAACCATATTTCAGAATTTCATCAGAGATCTTTAAAAATTTAGCTAAGTTGTATTTGATTCCTAGAAAGCCAAATATATACTGTTTACCTAATTGTTATATTAATACGTGAGTAGCTACTATATTTAGGCTACTACAGTAGACCCAGGACTCTGTTTTGTTATAAACACTGATATTCAATCACAAATATGGACAAATAGGGTTTCAAGATGATTCTTTGAAATGTTCAGTCGGTAATTAGAGTTCGATGAGTATGAAATTGTAAACTATCAAAGATACAGTAGCTAAATATTAAAGACATAATACATTCTAAAAGTGGGTGAGGCCGGGCACAGTGGCTCATGCCTGTAATCCTAGCACTTTGGGAGCTGAGGTGGCTGGATCACCTGAGGTCGGGAGTTTGAGACCAGCCTGGCCAACATGGCAAAACCCCATCTCTACTAAAAATACAAACATTAGCTGGGCATGGTGGCGGGCGCCTGTAATCCCAGCTACTCAGGAGGTTGAGGCAGGAGAATCACTTTAACCCTGGGGGTGGAGGTCCAGTGAGCTGAGATCACACCACTTCACTCCAGCCTGGGTGAAACGGCGAAACTCTATCTCAAAAAAAAAAAAAAAGTCGGGGTGGGGGTGAGTGCTTTCGGTCCAAGCTGTGGAATCTGCTCCAGATCTCGGTTGCCACTAGAGCGTCTTGGGTAGATGACTCTCTCCAGTAAGCCCTGGGCTTTCTCAGACCTCTGCTGTGCAGGTAGCCTGCCCTTCTGCCATCCTGGCCAACTCTGCCTACCAAATTCCTGCCCATCTTTGAAAGCGCAACCCTGACCTAGGCTCCCCTCCTTTGGGAAACTTCCCAAGGCCTCCCTCCATGCTACATAATCATCTCTCTTGTTTGTTTTTTTGAGACAGAGTCTCGCTCTGTCGCCCAGGCTGGAGTGCAGTGGCGCCATCTCGGCTCACTGCAAGCTCTGCCTCCCGGGTTCACGCCATTCTCCTGCCTCAGCCTCCTGAGTAGCTGGGACTACAGGTGCCCGCCACCACGCCCGGCTAATTTTTTGTATTTTTAGTATTTTGTATTTTGTATTTTAGTAATTTTTGTATTTTGGCCAGGCTAGTCTTTAACTCCTGACCTCCGGTAATCCGCCCGCCTCGGCCTCCCAAAGTGCTGGGATTACAGGCGTGAGCCGCCACGCCTGGCCGATCATCTCTCTTAACAGACTGGGCATCCTTAATCACAAGTATCTTTTTTTTTTTTTTTTTTTTTTTTGAGACAGAGTCTCGCTCTTGTTGCCCAGGCTGGAGTGCAGTGGTGCGATCTCGGATCACTGCAACCTTCGTCTTCCGGGTTCAAGTGATTCTCTTGCCTGGGCCTCCTGATTAGCTGGGATTACAGGTGCACGCCACCACACCCAGCTAATTTTTGTATTTTTAGTATTTTGTATTTTGTATTTTAGTAATTTTTGTATTTTGGCCAGGCTAGTCTTTAACTCCTGACCTCCGGTAATCCGCCCGCCTCGGCCTCCCAAAGTGCTGGGATTACAGGCGTGGGCCAGGGCGCCCAGCCAATCACAAGTATCTTTATAGAATATATTTTTTGCAGAAAATAAAATACTAGCAGAGTATTTGGCCTTCAGTAGTTATTTATTTAGCCCATTAGTAAGAGGTTTTCTAGCAAGAATGAAAGGATTAAGAGAATCTCTACTATTTTCTGAAAGGTGATAAAACATAAAATCAGATAAATTCCTTTTAAAACGACTTTCAAAGAAATCTTTAGAACTTGCAAAGCCTCCCACAAAGAAAATGTAAACACTGAAAGGTGGGAGGCAATTTTACTTTATATTTCTAGTATCACCATGGCATTTCATTCAAACAAACATTTCCATGAAGTTAGGGAAATTCCTGCTGCATTCACTTACTTTTTTTTTTTTCCCCCAGTAATCAAGTTGAAGAAACACTTCCACTACTTAAAAATTACTTTCATATTTGTTCAGCTATCCCAATGGGATTTTCACTTAGTAAATCTACTCAGGTGTCTGCTATGCATATGGATTCAAAAGTGGATGATCACTTAATACGAAGGACTGAAAAAAGCAGGTTGGAACCAACGACTCAGTTATTTCAAAACACCAAGAAAATAAGATTAGAAGACACAAATCAAGAAAACTTTTCAAGGATTGAAGGGACTGGCACAAGATCTCTTTCTGAGAAGGCCTTGGGTTCAGTGGTATACGTCAAAGAAAGTGATGGACTAGAAATGACAGATGTGGAATGAAGCAATTTGTATGTATTACCAAACAAACCAAAAACTGCCTTTAATTAAGAGGGGGTGTTGAAAGAGAACTTAACCTTATTAGGAAACCCTAACAAAATGACAGAAGACTATTGCTTTATTTTACACTATTTGTGAATCATCTTACACTGCATTTTTTGATTATGCCTATTCAAAAGGCAGTTGCTTTAGAGTGAAAAAGCCTTCCAAAATTCAAAGCAGATTTCTCTGGTATTATATTATATCCTTAAAAACCAGAGCTTTTAAGTAACAGTATTTGAATAGCACCAACACATTTTCATTTTAATGTATTTCTTTAACAAGTGATTTAAAAAAGTGTCTAAGAGGCCGGGCATGGTGGCTCATACCTGTAATCCCAGCACTTTGAGGGGCCAAGGCGGGTCAGGAGTTCGCAACCAGCCTGGCCAATATGGCGAAACCCCATCTCTACTAAAAATGCAAAAAATTAGCCAGATGTGGTGGTGGGCGCCTGTAATCCCAGCTACTTGGGAGGCTGAGGCAGGAGAATCGCCTGAACCCCAGAGGCGGAGGTTGCAGTGAGCTGAGATCATGCCCTCGCACTCCAGCCTGGGCAACAAGAGCGAAACTCCTTCCCAAAAAAAAAAAAAGAGGTCCAAGCAATGTGACATCAGTATTTCATATTTCATAGTATTTCTGGTGTACCGGTTTTGTATGTTATATTTCCATTTTGGGATTCTGCTTTAGGATACTTTACTTTCTTACATTTTGCATTTTTGTTCTGTAAAAGATCACTGCAGATAAACTGAAAAGGCCAATAAATTGCATATCTTCAGAAGGATTTCACATTTTAAATCGTGCCTTTAAAACTGCTTTTTCCCTCCACATAGAATCCATTTTAGAGTTAGAAAAGTATTCTTTCCAAGTGTTAATAGTTTGTCTTGCAGATGATACCATTTTATGTCACCAATATTTAATATGAGAAAAACAACCTGGTGTTTAAAAACCTTGTTTTGTGTATCAGTTATGAAAATATCTGGTAGTTGGAAATCTCTTTAATATTCATTTTAAAAGAGGAAAGGGCATCTTTTCGTAGGGGAGCTATATTTTATCAGAAAAATACTAAACAAATGTGTTTGTAGGGAATATTGAGAGTGAAAAACAATTGTTGATTGGGACATAAGCTAAAAAGACAACGCTTTTTATTATTTATGGAACATAATTCTTTAGGAGAGAAAAAAATACACAAATCATGCATTTGTTCACCTAGCCTAGCACTGTGCTTGGTGCTGGAGATACAGTAGTGAATCTCTGTATAAATAAAATGGAATAAAATAGCCACTGCCTTGTAGAGTTTTATGCCTACTAGGAGAGACAGGACATTATACAGTAATTATATAAGATGCCAATTGTGATACGCCATGAAGAAACATATAGCATTCAGAGAGACATAACACAACACAAGACATACCACATAAAGCTGAATTTTTTTTTTTTTAAGATGGTCTCACTCTGTTGCCCAGGCTGGAGAGCAGTGGAGCGATCATAGCTCACTGCAGTGTCAAATTCCTGTTCTTAAGCGATCTTCCTGCCTCAGCCTCCCAGTAGCTAGGATTACAGGCATGTGCCACCATACCCAGCATGTTTTTGTATTTTTTTAGAGACAGAGTCTCACAATGTTACCCAGACTAGTCTCAAACTCCTGGCCTCAGGTAATCCTCCCACTGGGCCATAAACTTGATTTTAACTGTGGGAAATGGGAAAAAATATCTCAGGATATTTTTGAAAGCAAGTTTATTAAGAAAGTAAAGAAACAACAGAATCGCTACTCCATAGACAGAGCAGCCTCTGAGGACATTTATAGCTTCTGCAGTGACATGGTTGTTTAAGTGAATGAAGGTGATAGTCATAAAAGTGGAGAGAAGGGGATAGAGTACAGGTGAAGTTTGACAGGATGTAGTCATGGTTTGGAAGTGGAAAGTGAGGAAGAAGAAAGGGCTTCTAGCAAAAAAGGCTAGATGCATGCAGGATCCCTGGGGGAAAAAAAGAGTGAGTTCAGGAGCATAGTTTTTAGACTTACCAGGTTTATAAGGCAGTTGTATCTATGGAACTAAAAAGTATAAATTTTGAAGTTTTATACAGAAATGGTACTTAAAGTCATAGAATGAATGAAATTGCTTAAGGAGAATGTAGTGTGAGATAAAGATCTGAGGAACTCCAACATTTAGGGGTTGACTAGAGCAGGGTAGCTGGCCAAGGGGACTGAGGAGTTGGCAGTGAGGCTAGAGGAAAACCTGGCAAAGGGGACTGAGGAGTTGACAGGGTAATGTCACAGTTGTCCACAGGAATCTCCAGGTTGAGGTAGTCAAATGAACAGTTAGATGAAGACTGAAAAGTCCACTGGATCTAGCAATATGAATGTCACCAGTGACCTTAGCAAAAGCACTTTTGCTGGATAATTGGGAGGAAAGCCATTTTGGAGTACATTGAAACAACGAATGGGAAGTGAGAAAGTAGACACTGGATGTACAGCGGTTTTTCCAAGAAGGTTGGCTCAGAAGGGTAGCAGGCAGGATGAAAAGTGGAAAAAGAAGTGAGGTCACTGGAGGATTGTTAAAGAGTACAGCATGTTTGAGTGTCACTGGAAAGGTTCCAGTGGAGAAGCTAAAGAAGTAGGTAAAGTTAAGAATAACCAAGGGACAGAAATCCTGGGGCAAGGAGGAGGGAATGGGATTCTTTAAAACCTCTTCAGCAAGAAACTAGGGGAAAAAAACGCAAACCTGTACCACCTGATATTTCAGAGAAAGGGAATTTAGAAGGAAGTAATATAAGCAAAGAGCAACAATATTCTGTGACTGTTTTTAATAATAACTAGGAAAATTCCTAGTGCAGTTAACTCTAAACAAAATTCATTCCCACCTGCACAATACAAGATAGACTAACTCAGAGTGACCTTGGTAAAAGGTGTAATAATAAAGAAATGAGGTGTCATTATGTCTTCATTGTAGCTTTACATGAAGCCCTGGTCATTTACTGTATCAACATCACCAAACTGAACATTGAATGATTCTTACTCCAAGAGGCAAGTCTTCGTGGTTTCTATTTTCACTGAAGGAGAGATTGATTTCTGAGCAAGACTGAAAAAGGTGACCACCAGTTCTTTGGGCTTCTCTCATCAAGAGGTGAAGTCCACTACGCCACGCCTTAACTCTGGGCTGGCTTTGTTGTTTTTGGCCAATAGAATATGGCTGAGGCGCTGCTTCCAAGATTAGGCCTCAGTTGAGGTGCCCTAGCAGCCAGGCAGCACCTGCCAGAGCATGAATAAGGTTATCTTGGACCGCCCAGCATAGCCAACCGGTGCTGAATGAAGCCACATGAATACGCCCAGGAGAAACTAGCAGAGGAGTCACCCACCTTGCCCCCATGTTAGAGATAGAAGCCACTGTTTGAGGCAGTTTGTTACGCAGCAATACCTGGGGTAATCTCCCATCTCATGGAACCACAGGATTTTCTTGCCAACTGCAATGAGTTGGCAAATGGGAATGATCACTCGCCTCAGTGTGTTTTCTGATCCACTCCATCCTGTATTATCATCTCTGTACTGCGAATACCATTTATTCCTTTAAATGCAATGTGTCTTTCAAAACTGACTTGAATTTCCTCACCTTTCGAGTCACCTGCCACTTGGACTCACTTATTTGGAGGAGATACGTAAAGACCCAGCGTAACGCCTACATGCTCAGTAAAAAGTATTTGCTGGTCCTCCTTCCTGCCCGTCGTGTGACCTGACTGCTCCGGGCTTCTGGGGGCTCCCCCTAAACTAGCTCCACGAAATGCCCCCTCCAACCTAGCACATCCGCTCTCCTACCTTCGCCCAGGGGTGGCCGTTAAAGTCTGTGCTGTCACGCGGGGAACGCCCCTCTGAACTGGGGCCTTATGACTTTCGGTACTTTTTTTCGAACGTGGCCTGCGTCCCTGCCTCGAATCTGGTTCCCGCCCTGAAGGACCCTTACTTAGCACCCCTGCGGGCTGCGGGGACCCCACGACCCCGCAGGCGGCGAGGCGCGGCGCGATCCCTGCGCGCCCCTCCTGCTCCGGTGCTCCAGGGGGCCGGCCCTCCAGGGGGCGGGGCAGGGTCGCGCGCAAGGCCTGCCGGTTGCTCGGGGACGTACGGCGCACTTTTCCAGCTCGCGCCCTCGCGAGGCCTTGTGCACGACCGGAAGCCGCAGGTGGGTGAAGCGGAAGCGCTTCTAGCCGGGATGTTGCGGGTCATGGCGCGTGGACGGCCGTGGTCCGTGGGCGCGAGCGGGGTCTCTGGCGGTGGGGCAGGGCCTGCGGGTCTCCCCCGCTGGTACTGAAGGGTTCTGTGTGCACGCTTTCCCCTCGGCGCTTGGGACGACCTCATTTCACTGTTAGGAAGGGTCGACCCCGAACACAAGAGGGAGGGTAAATACCGTAAAACATGTTGGAGGCTAGCTGTGTGCACGCCCCCTGGGAGCCAAAAGGGCGAAGTAAAACATGCACACGACCGTAATGAGATTCTGAGTAAGTTGTATATTACCAGAGAGGGGGCAGAATAATAGGGTCTTAGCAAGGTCTTATGAAGAAGCTGCGCCTGCCTAGAAAGATAGATGGGATTGTGCTGTTTTCGCTTTCAGTTCAGTGATGGGGAGGCGTGTTTGGCAGTGCAGAGGTAGGGAAGTGTCCCAAGAACATGGAAGATAAGGAAAAACTTTATAAAATTAGTCATTAAAGGGTTAGAGTAGAAAGATTCAAAGTGATTTTTAAGGAACAAAATTTAACCAGACCATCAAAGGCTTGACACTGTCCCAACGACTGTGAAATATCCTGAAATACTGTGCATTACTCAGTCGGGGTCTGATCCGCTACTGGAGCATAGAATAAAAAAAGAGGGGCGCACCTGAGCCAGATGAATCCACGCCTCTAGAGGAGAGAGGGTATCCCGGCTTAAGAGCAGGGGCTCTCCTGAGTTGAGGAAGTGTTTTTTTCAGAGCCCGTTCCGTCAGACATTCAAATCATGTAACTCAGTCCTTTTGTTCTGAGTACGTATTCACCAAGCAAACTTAAGAGTTGGCTTGTCAGTAGTCTTATAGTGAATAATTGGACAGGCTCATCTGAATATCTGATTGGTGGCCTATAGTTCTCTTTGTAAATCCATAAGCTGGCAGTCAGGGATTTTTGGACATCCCTTTGTTTTCACTTTTTTCACTCTTCGTGATTCTTTCTCATTTTTCGGGGTTCAGTTGAAATGTCACATCCTCACTGAGGTCTGTTTATTGGTTTATGTGTTCAGGTGGTTAGAACAGCTTCTTGCATCTTTTCTCACATGACGCCTTCTTAATGAGGCTTAG